AAATCTGCCGGGGAGGCCAGGGAGGGAACCTGGCTAACCCCCTGGCGACCCAATTCTGTTGTCGCCAAACATCAGAAGTCGTGCGCTCGGCCCTCCCAAATCCGGAGAGCGGCTAGGGGCTGCCCACTTGCCCTCGGGGACTGGAGCCTCCCGGCTGCGCGTGGATCGTGTTTCCAAGCTCTCGCCGCAAGCAGCAGGACTAGCATGCCGGGGAGGCCAGGGAGGGAACCTGGCTAACCCCCTGGCGACCCAATTCTGTTGTCGCCAAACATCAGAAGTCGTGCGCTCGGCCCTCCCAAATCCGGAGAGCGGCTAGGGGCTGCCCACTTGCCCTCGGGGACTGGAGCCTCCCGGCTGCGCGTGGATCGTGTTTCCAAGCTCTCGCCGCAAGCAGCAGGACTAGCAACGTGCCCCTGGAAGCTGCGATTGTCACCGGGCCCGGCGCATTCCGGCAAAGGGGCAATCCGGCATCGTGGGAGCTGGCAGCTGAGCTTGCCACGCCTGGCCGAGTTCCGGGGCTTTTCGTGGGCCTCTGCGGCACGGGGCACTCCGCTTGGCAGGAGAGTCCGCGGGGGAGTGTGCGTGTAACCTTAGCTCTTTAAAGGATGGTTTGAGGACTTCAGGAACCCAGCCAGAGGGGGCAGGTCTGTTCAGGTCACAGCTGCTGAGCCGCACGTCAGAACTGCTTTTCCCTCCTGCCAGCCCTACAGCCCAGCACTGCGCTGAAACCCACTGCAGCCTGCGCGCCGTCCCTGCGGCTGCTGCCGGGGGCTAGTCCGCTGCCCTCAGCAGTCCCAGTGTGGCCCTGCACAGGCGCAGCCGGGAGACACGGGGGCTGCTCAGGTGTCAGTGAGGGCCTGGTTTGGACCTTTCCATCTGTGTCAGAGCCCGGTGTGACGCCCAGTCCCCAAGGGAGGCGGGAGGGCCCGGAGGCAGAGCACGCACTCCTCCTTTTCCAGACTGTCTGAGTGTGGAATCCGGCACTGGATCTGGAAACACCCTCTCTCTTCGGACGTGCTCCGCTGGGTGCAAACACAACCCCCCTGCCTCGGGAGGGAGGTAAAGGCAGCAGCAGGACTACTGCAAAGCCAGCTATGCACGGAGAACGGAGTGGCCGAAGGCTAGAAAATAACAACAATACTTAGCTTTCGTAACCCATAGCGCTCACAGTGTCATTAGCCCCATTTCGCAGATGGGGAAACTGAGGCACGCAGCAGGGACGTGACTTATGAGAGGGCCATGGTAGAGATGGTTACAGAGCCAGGTCTCCTGGGTGGCCGTTTAGTGCTTCATGCACTGGCCTGCTCTGTGTCTGGTGAGCAGCAGCCCTCAGGTCCCTCCCGCCCTGGGCCCAAAGGGATGAGTCACCTGAGAAAATGAAAAATAACAGAATGATCCGACCATCTGGGAACCAGTAAAAAGCGTTGCCCCAGGTTTGGGGCTGAGATTCAGATCGGCCTCGTTCATCCAGGTTTGCTCCGCCCTAAGGCAGTGCGGTCTAGTGGAATGAGCAAAAGATCTGTGACCCTAGAGCGCCTGGGTGCTAAGCCCGACTCTCTCCACTGGCCCCTGTGCTGCCTCAGTTTCCCTCCCTGAACCAAAGGGCCGATGATTTGGGGGAGCAGGGAGCTTAGCTTGCAAAGCGCTGAAATGCTCAGCACCCTGTGCAAAGCCTATTGACCGCAGCCTGACACTGAGCCGGGCTGTTTCATTGGCCGCGGAGGCACAGAGGGCGCAGTGCACATGGGGCGAGGGGGGAGAAGAAAGGTCCCGTTTGGGGGAGACAATGGCTGTTTCTGCTGAGGAGCAGGTTGATGGTTTGGATCTGAAAAGCGAGGCCATTAGCCCTCCACCCACCCGGCCTCACCTTATCTCCCAGCGAGACAGAACCCAGAGAGATCGCATCAAGGCAAACTTCACTTCACATCCTCTGGGCCTTGGCTGGAGCATGAAAGGCTCTGCCAGGAGCCACGGATCCAGCGAAGGCAAACTGGCGCTGGGGTCAGCCAGGGATTTCTGTCTGGCGGGGGGTTGCTGAGAAATTCTCGCTGCCTCTTTCATGATTATGAAGATTCCTTTCCCCCCCTCTCCTCCCGCTTTCCTCCCTGCCCATCTTGCCATGCGGATAGCTGGGAGCTGCAAAGCATGTGACGCTATCTTCCATATAGGGGCAGGAGCAAAGCAAGGCCGAGCGATGGACGCCCTTAGGCCAGACTTGCAGACAATATATACCTACCGCACGATGTGAAACGCTTCCCACTTTCCAGCGAGAGCGCCAGGCAGAGCAGGCAGCGAGAGGAGTCCTGCGTGAAGGTAAGTCGCTCGCCCCTTTGCTTTGCAAGGAGCTCCACCTGGGTGGGAGCAGAAAGCCAGAGAGACTAACTTCCGGAGAAGGGCGGAGGGGGGGGGCACGGTGTTTGCGGCTCAGGACTTCTGAAGAAAGGTGCAATGTTTCGCCTCTTCTAGGAGGGGTGCGGTTTGTGTGTGGGCTGCGTGCCACAGCAGGGCACGTCAAAGGCACCAGCAAGTATTTCTTCTTCCAAACACACGGCCAAGTCCAAGCCCCACCGACGAGCCTGGCTGCGGTTTGTTTTCGGGGCGCGTTTTGGCCAAACTCCCCTCTTGCGGCACGCTGCACGACCACGCTTTGTTTCACCAGACTGCACACCCAAGCGCCCCGTTTGCTGACCTGCCAGACACCTGCCCTGCGAGGCTGGGGCTTGGCTGCACCTTAGCTAGTTACTCAGCAACTTCCAAAGCTCAGAAAGCTTCTGAGCTCTGCTGGATTCCCTCGAAAGTCCCGTCCCGGGTCCCTGCCTGAGTGGCATTTGGATGTACTGGAGTTTTTGTCGCTGGCTGCTGCGCCCATGCGCCGCTGACACACGCCAAGGGTGCTCCCCTGTCCCGGTGAGCGAGGACAGCTGTAGACCCCCTCGGTTGTGTGGGATAGCACCGGGTGGCACGCCCACTGTGCTTTGCCTCGGGGTCAGGCTGCGCGGGGTGACGGTGGGGTGACGGAAAGTGGCCGTGGGCCGCGGGGACAGATGCTTTTGAAAACACTGATAAAAGTCTGGTAACGGGAGTGAGCCGGAAAGTCATTAACGAACGAACGCAGGCGGGCAGGGAACTGTTAAACCAGAAAAAGAAGCCGGTGGAGGGATTCACCTCTCACCTCTCCAGCCTCAGGAGACGTGTCGCTGTCGATGTAGCTCTAGCCAGCTGAGTGTGAGAAATAATAACTCGCTGTCATTCACAGGCTCTTAGGCAAGACACTGCTTTTCTGTGCCTCAGTTTCCCCAGTTGTACAATGACAGTAATGCTGCTTTTGCACAGCACACTGGAGTCTCTCAGATGCAAAGTATCGTGAGTGTTTACAAGGGGCCAAATGTTCATTTCCGTACTCATGCGGCCCAGTGCTTTCCTCGGCGTGATTGCTATTCCTTTTGAGTAAGGACATCAGGGTGTGCCCCAAACCGGGAACATAACACAATCACATGAGGCTGTAAATCCGTCAGGGGATTCAGGGGACGCAGAGCCGGAGCTGCCGGAAGCCGGAGGTGGACTCGCTGGCAGCAGCACGGTGATCCGTGGGCTCGAGTGCCTTGGCGGTGGCTGCTGGCTGGCCGGGCTGCCCGGCGGTGCTCCCGGGG